AGGAGCACTGCCAGAGCCCTGCAAAATGACCTCCAGCAGGCCACAAATGTGCATGTCTGCTCAAACGGTCAGAAACAGACTCCATGAGGGTGGTATGAGGGCCCGACGTCCACAGGTGGGGGTTGGGCTTACAGCCCAACACCGTGCAGAACGTTTGGCATTTGCCAGAGAACACCAAGATTGGCAAATTCGCCACTGGCGCCCTGTGCTCTTCACAGATGAAAGCAGGTTCACACTGAGCACATGTGACAGACGTGACAGAGTCTGGAGACGCCGTGGAGAACGTTCTGCTGCCTGCAACATCCTCCAGCATGACCGGTTTGGCGGTGTGTCAGTCATGGTGTGGGGTGGCATTTCTTTGGGGAGCCGCACAGCCCTCCATGTGCTCGCTAGAGGTAGCCTGACTGCCATTAGGTACCGAGATGAGATCCTCAGACCCCTTGTGAGACCATATGGTGCGGTTGGCCCTGAGTTCCTCCTAATGCAAGACAATGCTAGACCTCATGTGGCTGGAGTGTGTCAGCAGTTCCTGCAAGAGGAAGGCATTGATGCTATGGACTGGCCCGCCCATTCCCAGACCTGAATCCAATTGAGCACATCTGGGACATCATGTCTCGCTCCATCCACCAACGCCACGTTGCACCACAGACTGTCCAGGAGTTGGCGGATGCTTTAGTCCAGGTCTGGGAGGAGATCCCTCAGGAGACCATCCGCCACCTCATCAGGAGCATGCCCAGGCGTTGTAGGGAGGTCATACAGGCACGTGGAGGCCACACACACTACTGAGCCTCATTTTGACTTGTTTTAAGGACATTACATCAAAGTTGGATCAGCCTGTAGTGTGGTTTTCCACTTTAATTTTGAGGGTGACTCCAAATCCAGACCTCCATGGGTTGATAAATTTGATTTCCATTGATAATTTGTGTGATTTTGTTGTCAGCACATTCAACTATGTAAAGAAAAAAGCATTTAATAAGATTCATTCATTCATTCAGATCTAGGATGTGTTATTTTAGTGTTCCCTTTATTTTTTTGAGCAGTGTACTTATGTCATGCAATAAAATGCAAATTAATTACTTAAAAATCATACAATGTGATTTTCTGGATCTTTGTTTTAGATTCCGTCTCTCACAGTTGAAGTGTACCTATGATAACAATTACAGACCTCTACATGCTTTGTAAGTAGGAAAACCTGCAAAATCGGCAGTGTATCAAAACTTGTTCTCCCCACTGTAACTGCCTTAATGTTGCTGCTAAGAGTAGCTGCTGCCTTGGCAGCTAATGGAGATCCTTAATAAATACAAATACAAAAATGGTCTTCTCTTTACAGCAATAACCATTTTCTTTCCAAACTATGTTTTCCTGCAATTGTATTTTAAAATATTGTGATATGCCTGGCTTGGCCTCTGTACTTTTCACAGACCATCAAAACTCAACAATAATCTGCCCAAATTGCGCACGCTGCCTTTCCTTCCAACTGTATGCAATATGATTTAAAACAATCCACTACTTATTTTTTTTTTAATACGCTAATGATCCTTTGTGGCCAAATCATGCTTTTGTAGCCTATTTTGAATTAGTTTATTTATTTCTGTATAGACAGGAGTATGCTAATTAGGCTATATCATTTTGGCAATTTAATTCAATTTACTTTAGAAAAATATTAGTTTACCCTAGTCTTATGGACGCACTGCCTATACTTGCATATTAAAAACGTAACAGCACATAACTTCCGTTCGCCATTCGAGTGCAGGCTACGAATGACTTTTTTTGTGGGCCATTCTAAATAAACAATAATTCCACCCCTAGGCTATATGTAAAGACCAGAATAAATAAGAATATTTTGATGGGTGAGAATATTATCAATGCTTGTCAAATTGTGAATGAGAGACTGATGAAGTGTGCAGCGCTCATGCCTTTCATATGACTTTTTTTCAAATCATTAGCTGCATCATGCAGCCTTAGAATGTATTAAAAATCCTAACGTTTGTATCACAACTAAAGTTTCATAAATAACTCTAAATTAAGCATATAGGAGGACCTGTTTCTTTGTTAACTGCTAAACTCACTCACTCAGAAATCATTTGGATAAAATATACTTTCTATTTTATTCAGCTGTTCGATTGTATTCTTCATACTATAAAAATGTTTTTTTTTAAAGTAATAATGCCACGGAATTCTAAGTAAATCTTGTCTGCTAAATTAACTGTTTAGCCCACAGCCATATGGCATAGGCAGATCAGGGCTTAACATAAGGACTCAGAATATGCTATTCTGCCACAGCCCTACTTGACATCTAACAACACATTCTGATGACCAGAATAACATATTTATAAAACAATGTAACCGTTGTGGCACAGAAACTGCAATCAAGTTTCTATGTTCATAAGGCTAACATGAATGTTTCAAATGACTTTAATATGGAAACGGTGTAACAATTTGTGTTTGCAGCAGTAAGTCACTGAAATATGTCAGAAAGGTATTGGAGAGATCAGGAAAACATCAGGGAAGGTCATCCAGCAGAAGCACATCTAACCTTTTGGGGGCCCTATGCGAGATTTGGTTGGGGGGCCCCCCACCTCATGGGCAAGACATTTTAGTGCCGCCCTCTTGGCAGTGGATTCTTTTTTCTTCTTTTCAGTGTTAAACTACATTTTCCGCAATTCAATTTTTTTTGCCATGGGGCGTAGAGAAAATGGTGCAGTATTAAAACACATTTTATTAAATTCTACTCATTTTGTCATGGGGCGGCAATAACATTTTGCAGTTTCAAATCTAATTTCATGCAACTTTACACATTTTGACATAACTAATGCCATGTTCATATGATATTTGAATGAGAGTGACTAACAAAATGAATGGGGGCTACGTCAAGGTCAGAGCCCCCGTGCCCGGTCAGTAATTTGGTGATGATTAGATTACTACAAGGTTTAGATAGCTAGCTAGTTACCTAGCAATCAAAAAAATTTTAGGTGACATGGGCTAATTGAGTGACTGTCAGTGACTGACATAAGTGGAAAACGGTTGATGTAATACCGAATTTTGAAATTGCACCTTGTGCAATCTAATTTTACAACTCTCAACAGTAAGTTGAGACCCCGACTAAGTCCCTGAAAATACAGTACCAGTCAAAAGTTTGGACACCTACTCATTCAAGGGTTTTTCCTTATTTTTAATATTTTCTACATTGTAGAATAATAGTGAAGACATCAAAACTATGAAATAACACATATGGAATCACGTAGTAACCAAAAAAGTGTTAAACAAATCAAAATATATTTTTGATTCTTCAAATTAGCCACCCTTTGCCTTGATGACAGCTTTGCACACTCTTGGCATTCTCTCAACCAGCTTCATGAGGAATGCTTTTCCAACAGTATTGAAGGAGTTCCCACTTCTTGGTTGCTTTTCCTTCAATCCGCAGTCCAACTCATCCCAAACCATCTCAATTGGGTTGAGGTCGGGTGATTGTGGAGGCCAGGAGGTCATCTGATGCAGCACTCCATCACTCTCCTTCTTGGTCAAATAGCCCTTACACAGCCTGTAGGTATGTTTTGGGTCATTGTCCTGTTGAAAAACAAACGAATCCCACTAAGCGCAAACCAGATGGGATGGCGTATCGCTGCAGAATGCTGTGGCCAACATGCTGGTTAAGTGTGCCTTGAATTCTAAATAAATCACCGACAGCGTCACCAGCAAAGCAACCCCACACCATCACACCACCTCCTCCATGCTTCACAGTGGGAACCACACATGCAGAGATCATCCGTTCACCAACTCTGCGATTGGAACCAAACATCTCAAATTTGGACTCAGACGAAAGGACAGATTTCCACCGGTCTAATGTCCATTGCCCGTGTTTCTTGGCCCAAGCAAGTCTATTCTTATTATTGGTGTCCTTTAGTAGTGGTTTCTTTGCAGCAATTCAACCATTAAGGCCTGATTCACGCAGTCTCCTCTGAACAGTTGATGTTGAGATGTGTCTGTTACTTGAACTTAGTGAAGCATTTATTTGGGCTCCAATCTGAGGAGCAGTTAACTCTAATGAATTTATCCTCTGCAGCAGAGGTAACTCTGGGTCTTCCTTTCCTGTGGCGGTCCTCATGAGAGCCAGTTTCATCATAGCGCTTGAAGGTTTTTGCGACTGCACTTGAAATGTTCCGCATTGACTGACCTTCATGTCTTAAAGTAATGATGGACTGTCGTTTCGCTTTGCTTATTTGAGCTGTTCTTGCTATAATATAGACTTGGCCTTTTACCAAATAGGGCTCTCTTCTGTATACCCCCCCTACCTTGTCACAACACAACTGATTGGCTCAAACGCATTAAGGAAAGAAATTCCAGAAAATAACTTTTAACAAGGCACAGCTGTTAATTGAAATGAATTCCAGGTGAAGCTGGTTGAGAGACTGCCAAGAGTGTGCAAAGCCGGCAAAGGGAGGCTACTTTGAAGAATCTCAAAAATAAAATATTTTGATTTGTTTAACAGTTTTTTGGTTACTACATGATTCCATATGTGTTATTTCATAGTTTTGATGTCTTCACAATTATTCTACAATGTAGAATATAGTAAAAATTAAGAAAAACCCTGGAATGAGTAGGTGTGTCCAAACTTTTGACTGGTACTGTATGCCCTGCAGGAACGCAGGGCACGCACACACACACAGATCATTTTGGGGTAACATTCTGGAGGGCCAACCCAAACGTCTTCGGCCCGCGGGCCCCAGTTTGGTCTGTCCTGGTCTAGACGATCCTATCCGCCAATCAGGGCTGTGTATGTTAATATATTTAAAATTGTATCAACGCCCACACGATCAGACTGCATTTTAATGACAAAAGGAGGCTCAGGGAAATAAATCAAATTTTATTTTGTTACTTTCATGAAATAAACACACTCATTCTGTCTTACCCTTGCTGTCTGCAGTGTTGTTGCTCTTGAAGGCCCTCTCCAGGTGGTTGTGCTGCTTGGCCAACTGCTCCAGAGTTTCCTCAAGTCGCACCCTCTGGTCCCGCTCTGCCTGCAGGGCCTTCTGCCAGCGCTTACTGTGGGCTTGGGCCAGAGCCAAAAAGTCTCTGCACGCCTGAAGAAACGTTACCCAAATATTACTACAACACTTGGCCAGTGGAGGCCCCTGTATACCCAAGGGGTGAAATGTACCAAGAGCATTACCAAAACTCCAACGGTATACTGGCACAAACATTCATTTCTGGGTAACAATTAAGTACCTTACCGTGATTATTTTTGACCATTTTAATTTAAAACAAACAAAAATAGCTTCTTAGCTAAATGCAATTTCTCAAGCAAGAATTGGAAGTGCCGAATGAAAGGGATGTGTAACCTGAAAACTAGCTGTTATTGGCAGAGGAGGGAAAATGCTTATTGGTCATTTAACTCACACCAACAACAACAAAAAACACCCAGCCAAAAAAGCTGATATTCAGGCGGTCTTTTCAAACAGCTCTTACACTAAATGTGCATTATCATCATTTTCACAGTATTATTCCAACCTCAGTGTGGATATATAAAACACAGGATAATCACGTTGACTGCACTTCCCCTTTAAGTGCACCAAGTGTCTCTCATATGTCAGTTTGGGTAAAGATGGCGGCACAAGCTGACACTCACGTTGATCATGGCGTTGGAGGTGATGCGGAAAAGCGTGGCTCTCTCCGTCACCTGCCGGATCTTATCTCCGGCCTCTCCGGTGAGGCGCAAGCTATCCAACTCAGACAAGGACCTGATGGAAAAGCCAACTCAGTACAATGAGTGGAAATACCTATAAAAATCAGCCAATCATATGACTTCAATCATTCAGTGTATCTCTAAATCATCAAATGACCTGCGTGATCAGTAGAAAAATCATTATCAGTCAAATATTGAGCAAAGTCTGTTTGAAAAATAAGCTGATCAATGGTTATAAAACCAATCTGGACAAATTCATGATTCTGATATGGTGTTCATTTGCGTGTGAATATGTGGAGATCAGAAATGTTTCAAATCTCTCCAATAACACTAGAACCGCCAGGAGTTGAAGCATTCAAGAAGCAGCCAATGATGCCTTTTGAACATCTAGACTACATTTAAACAGTCTAAAAATCAATGTAATTTACAGTGCATTCGTAAAGTATTCATTCCCTTTGACTTTATCCACATTTTGTTACGTTACAGCCTTATTCTAAACTGGATTAAATTGTTTTTTCCTCATCAATCTGCGCACACACACACACACACACACACAATACCCAATAACGACAAAGCAAAAACAGATTTTTTGAAATGTTTTCAATTTTAGAATAAGGCTGTAATGTAACAATTTTGAAAAATTCAAGGCGTCTGAATACTTTTTAAAATTATATATTGTTTGTGTTTAGGCATGTCTTAGGAGATACAACAAAATTGTATTTCAAAAGAACAGAATAGCATATTCTGAGTTGACTATCCATGGCTATGCAAAATGCCAGTGGTGTAGCCTATTTTGTTTGTTCATTTAGCAGACAAGACTTGCTTATATTCGTGTGCACTTATTACAAATTAACACACATCTATGTTGTTTTGAAGCTGAAATCCGCAGGCCGTGGGTGCCCCCATGCCACCCCACTTCGTGTTGTGTTTTCAAACAAGGGATTTGGTCCTATGCTGCTCTGGGCTGGCCTTCTGGGAAAGGTGTCTTAGCGCTAACTCCCGCCCTCTCAAATGACGTTGCTAGAGAGAGAGGAAGTGAAAAGTAACTTTCTACAGCTGCCAAAGATACACTGTTGCAGTAGCAGGGACAACGTTTTCAGAAAATGTCTACAGAACAAGCATTATCATCATTTCTTGGATCTGAATCAACTCGACCAGAAAAGAAAAAAAGCAGTGAGAAAAAGGCTGCTCATGACCAATCAAGATACCGGATAAACATTGGAATTAATTTGGAAAGGTGGCGAGCACTGAAAGATCTTAAAGGTTGGAAGAGTGATGCCGAAATGGCCACCAGTCATTAGTACTGGGTTGCCTTTTTAGCATGCTAGCTACTTATCTAACATTAGCTGCTAACCTTAGTATTCAATGTTCAAGCTAGCTAACACGGCTATAATGGAATAAATATACACTATATAGACACACAAAAGTATGTGGACACCCCTTCAAATTAGTGGATTAGGCTATTTCAGCCACACCCGTTGCTGACAGGTGTATAAAATAGAGCACACAGCCATGCAATCTCCATAGACAAACATTGGCAGTAGAATGGCCTTACTGAAGAGCTCAGTGACTTTCAACGTCGCACCATCTTAGGATGCCACTTTTCCAACAAGTCAGTTAATCAAATTCCTGCCCTGCTAGAGGTGCCCCGATCAACTGTACGTGCTGTTATTGGGAAGTGGAAACATCTAGGCGCAACAATGGCTCAGCCGCGAAGTAGTACACAAGCTGACAGAACGGGACCGCCAAGTGCTGAAGCGTGTAGCGCGTATAGTCTGTCTTCAGTTGCAACACTCACTACAGAGTTCCAAACTGACACTGGAAGCAACGTCAGCACAATAACTGTTCGTTGGGAGCTTCATGAAATGGGTTTCCATGGCCGAGCAGTCGCACACAAGGCTAAGATCACCATGCGCAACGCCAAGCAACGGCTGGAGTGTTGTAAAGCTAGCCGCCATTGGACTCTGGAGCAGTGGAAACGCGTTCTCTGGAGTGATTAATCACGCTTCACCGTCTGGCAGTCCGACGGACGAATCTGGGTTTGGCGGATGCCAGGAGAACACTACCTGCCCCAATGCATAGTGCCAACTGTCAAGTTTTGTGGAGGAGGAATATTTTTCATGGTTCGGACTAGGCCCCTTAGTTCCAGTGAAGGGAAATCTTAACGCTACAGCATACAATGACATTCTAGACAATTCTGTGCTTCCAACTTTGTGGCAACAGTTTGGAGAAGGCTCTTTCCTGTTTCAGCATGACAATGCCCCCGTGCACAAAGCGAGGTCCATACAGAAATGGTTTGTCAAGATCGTTGTGGAAGAACTTGACTGGCCTGCACAGAGCCCTGACTTCAACCCCATCAAACACCTTTGGGATGAATTGGAACGCAGACTGCGAGCCAGTCCTAATCGCCCAACATCAGTGCCGACCTCACTAATCCTTGTGGCTGAATGGGAGCAAGTCCCTGCAGCAATGTTCCAACATCTAGTTGAAAGTCTTAACAGAAGAGTGGAGGCTGTTACAGCAGCAAAGGGGGGACCAACTCCATATTAATGCCCACGATTTTGGAACGAGATGTTCGACGAGCACACATACTTTTAGTCATGTAGTGTATATAGAAAATCTTGCCTCACCAGTGTCAATTAAACACGCTGGCCTCTTCATTCACAATTTGACAATTTATAATATTCTCACCCATCAGCATTTTCTCAATTTAATCTTGTTTTTACATCAATTATAAGTGTGAAATTAGTTTTGGTAGGTGTAGTTTTGTTGGGCTATTATCAACTGGGCAAGCAACTGTTGGGAGAAGGGGCAAAAAAACTTTCTAAATTACACGTCCTCCTAAAAGAGCTCATAACACAAATAGGCTACGGACAGTGATATAATTTTTTTTAACAATGTCATTGTGTTAAATACTGTTATTAGACTTCTTAAATCACCTGATGCCTCAGAAATCTCTGTGGCGAGTCTAGTGTTAAATGTTATAAATTTAACAGACATTTCCATTTGCAACTAGAGCTAAATGTAAATTACATACTAGATGTAAAGGAACAGCAATCCACAAAGTGAAACATGGCTTTTAGAACGCTGTGTGACACTGCAAATTAGCTTTTTTACTGCGACTACTTCCTGTATTGTGATTGGTTCTCATTCACGAGGTTGACAACAATAGCAAATATATTAGCACACAACACTTTTTGGGATAATAAATAATGTAAGAAGCAGTACTAAGCCATTCAAGGTCTTTCTCTAAGCAGTGTCCTAAAAGAAAACATGAAGAAATTGAAATGATTGGCTAAAATATTACATGTTGCACCTTTAACACTCAGAGAAGTGACATGAGAAACTATCACTTCAAGAGCACAACCGTTTGACCAAATCAGGAGAAGAAAGTGTACTGACCTCTGCAGGGCGGAGCCATGTTTAGAGATGAGGTCATTGCATGTGCTCAGATCGTCCACCTTGCTGCCCAGTGTCCTGAGAGTGGACTGGACCTCCAAGCTCTGGGCACCACCGACTTGTCCCCGCGGCGAGTTTGGAGGAAAGTCATCCCCAGAGTCATCTGAGGAAAATGAAAATGGGGGAAGGGCTCAAGTTACAGTACTGTGAAAAAGTATTTGCCCACATTCAGATTCTCTATTTTTGATAATGAATGTTTTCAGATCTTCAACCAAAACCTAATATTAGATAAAGGGAACAAAAACAACAAATGACATACTTACAGTGCATTCAGAAAGTATTCAGACCCCTTCCCTTTTTCCACATTTTGTTACGTTACAGCCTTATTCTAAAATGGATCTTTTTTTTTTTTTTTTGGTGCAAATTTATTTAAAATTATAAAAAATGGAAATACCTTAACGTAAGTATTCAGACCCTTTGCTATGAGACTTGAAATTGAGCTCAGGTGCATCCTGTTTCCACTGATCATCCTTGAGACGTTTCTACAACTTGGAGTCCACCTGAGGTAAATTCAATTGATTGGACATGATTTGGAAAGGCACACACCTGTATATAAGGTCCCACAGTTGACAGTGCATGTCAGAGCAAAAACCAAGCCATGAGGTCGAAGGAATTGTCCGTAGAGCTCCAAGACAGGAGTGTGTCAAGGCACAGATCTTGGGAAGGGTACCAAAACATTTCTGCAGCATTGAAGATCCCCAAGAACACATATTTCCTCTGTGGAGATGGGAGAACTTTCCAGAAAGACAAACATCTCTGCAGCACTCCACCAATCAGGCCATTATGGTAGAGTGCCAGACCGAAGCCACTCCTCAGTAAAAGGCACAACAGCCCGCACGGACTTTGCCAAAACTCACCTAAAGGACTCTCAGACCATGAGAAACAAGATTCTCTGGTTTGATGAAACCAAGATTGAACTCTTTGGCCTGAATGCCAAGTTTCACGTCTGGAGGAATCCTGGCACCGCTCGTCACCTGGTCAATACCATTCCTGCAGTGAAGCATGGTGGTACCCTTCCCCAGATCTGTGCCTCGACACAATCTTGTCTCTGAGCTCTACGGACAATTCCTTTGACCTCATGGCTTGGTTTTTGCTCTGACATGCACTGTCAACTGTTGGACCTTATATAGACAGGTGTGTGTCTTTCCAAATCATGTTCAATCAATTGAATTTACCACAGGTGGAATCCAATCAAGTTGTAGACATCTCAAGGATGATCAATGGAAACAGGACGCACCTGAGCACAATTTTGAGTCTCATAGCAAAGGGCATCTGTTTTTAGTTTTTTTTATACATAGGCAAAAATGTCTAAAAACCTGTTTTCCCTTTGTCATTATGCAGTATTGTGTGTAGATTAATGAGGGAAATAAATAAGGCTGTAACGTAACAAAATGTGGAATAGTTTCTGAATGCACTGTATTGCAGCTTTAACATAAACTCCTCCATATTTCCTCAAGTATTCTGTTGATGACAGTAAAGAAACTTTTAAAAACAATGACCAAAGTTTATGAATGGTCTAATTACACTCAACAAAAATAAAAAAAACGCAACATGTAAAGTGTTGGTCCCATGTTTCATGAAAGGAAAAATAAATTCTACCCAAAAATGAAACGCACAAAAAACTAATTTCTCTCAAATCGTGTGTATAAATTTGTTTACATCCCTGTTTGTGAGCATTTCTCCTTTGCCAAGATAATCAATCTACCTGACAGGGGTGGCATATCAAGAAGCTGATTAAACAGCATGATCACTACACAGGCGCACCTTGTTCTTGGGGACAATAAAAAGGCCACTTAAATGTGCAGTTTTGTCATACAACACAATGCCACAGATATCGGAAGCTTTGATGGAGCGTGCAATTGGCATGCTGACTGCAGGAATGTCCACCAGAGCTGTTGGCAGATAATTGAATGTTCATTTCTCTACCATAAGCCGCCTCCAAAGTCATTTGAGAATTTGGCGGTAGGTCCAACTGGCCTCACAACCGCAGACCACTTGTAACCACGCCAGCCCAGGACCTCCACGTCCGGCTTCTTCACCTGCGGGATCGTCTGAGACAAGCCACCCGGACAGCTGATGAAACTGTGCGTTTGCACAACCAAGTAATTTGCACAACCAGAAACCTTCTCAGGGAAGCTCATCTGCATGCTTGTCGTCCTCACCAGGGTCTTGACCTGACTGAAGTTCAGCATCGTAACTGACCAGTGGGCAAATGCTCACCTTCGATGGCCACTGGCACACTGGAGAAGTGCGCTCTTCATGGATGAATCCCAGTTTCAACTGTACCGGGCAGATGGCAGACAGCGTGTATGGTGTCTTGTGGGTGAGCGGTTTGCTGATGTCAACATTGTGAACAGAGTGCCCCATGGTGGCGGTGGGGTTATGGTATGGGCAGGCATAAGCTACGGTCAACGAACACAATTGCATTTCATTGATGGCAATTTGATACTGTGACGAGATCCTGAGGTCCATTGCCATGCCATTCATCCGCCGCCATCACCTCATGTTTCAGCATGATAATGCATGGTCGCATGTCGCAAGGATCTGTACACAATTCCTGGAAGCTGAAAATGTCCCAGTTATTCCATGGCCTGCATACTCACCAGACATGTCACCCATTGAGCATGTTGGGATGCCCTGGATCGACGTGTATGATAGCGTGTTCCAGTTCCCGCCAATATCTAGCAACTTTGCATAGCCATTGAAGAGGAGTGGGACAACATGCCACAGGCCACAATCAACAGCATGATCAACTCTATGCGAAGGAGATATGTCACGCTGCATGAGGCAAATTGAGGTCACTGGTTTTCTGACTCACGTCCCTACCTTTTATTTATTTTTACGGTATCTGTGACCAACAGATGCATATCTGTATTCCCAGTCATGTGAAATCTATAGATTAGGGCCTAATTAATTAATTTCAATTGACTGATTTCCTTATATGAACTGTAACTCAGTAAAATCTTTGACATTGTTGCATGTTGCGTTTATATTTTTGTTCAGTGTAGTCAGAGACTGTTATAAAGACTGATGGAAGCATGAAAGAGAAAGAAGTGTTTTCACTGACATTTTCAACCTCTCCCTGACCCAGGCTGTAACATGTTTCATGCAGACCACTAGGGCTGAACGATTAATTGCATTCGCGATAATATCGCGATTTGACTGAACGCGATTTTCTAATCGCAACGTGCGCGATTTGAGGTGGTCACGTGACACGACTTTTCATGCTGTCCAGCGCAATGGCCTCTTGCTCGACGGAACAGTCAGAAACTGACACAGCTGATACTTTAATATCGAAGAGGAACAGCACGTCGGTGGTGTGGAACTATTTTGGTTTTAAAAAAGAAGATGCTGAGCAGCGTCAGGTGTTGTGCAGAGCATGCCGTGCTCCGATTGCTACTTCACGGGGTAACACTACAAACCTGTTTCAGCACTTAAAAAAATACCACAAATCAATGCATGACAGTTGTATGACCAAAATGCCGAGCATCAGTGCGCGAGACAAGCCAAATACCTCAAGACAGGGATCACTGACAGAAATGTTCGAAAGTGTCACTCCGTATGAACGTAATTCAAAACGGCACGGAGAAATCACTCGGACAATAACCGAGTTCATAGCCAAAGATATGATGCCTCTCAGCACGGTGACCAAGCCTGGGTTCATGGCATTAATACATACGCTTGATAAACGTTACAGTATATCCTCCCGCACATACTTCAGTCAGACTGCCATACCGGAGCTGTACAAAAAGTGCAAAGAGAAAGTCGCCGCGGAACTTAAAACGGTGGAGTTTTTTGCTAGCACTACTGATATGTGGTCAAGCCGCACAGCTGAGCCGTACCAGAGTCTTACAGTCCATTTTATTGATGAAGATTTCAACCTCCGAGCTCGCTGCCTACAAACTACCTACTTCCCAGACGATCACACAGGGGAAAATATTGCAGCCGGCCTGAGAGAAGGGCTTGTCAGCTGGGATCTCCACGAGGAGAATCACGTCTGCATCACGACGGACAACGCGTCGAATATGGTGCTTGCTGCGCGGCTTAATGAATGGACGAGGCTCCAATGTTTTGGCCACAGATTACATCTTGCCATTGGTAAGTTATCGTGTGTGTGTGTGTGTGTGTGTGTGTGTGTGTGTGTGTGTGTGTGTGTGTTTGTGTGTGTGTGTGTGCGCGAGAGAGAGAGATGCGTCGATTAGTAAAGCTGAATATACAAATATATATAAATGATATTATATAAATCGGATGGGATTAAATAAATTCATACTTCCACTCCTTTTCTAATATGTAAATTCATTTTACTTGCTTATATCATATGTCTGTCTGTGGTGGAATGCCCACCTGCATTTTTTTTCTTTTCTTGTTTTTGTTTTTTACATGTTTTTTTAGTGTTTATGAGAGAGAGAGAGAGAGAAAGAGAGAGAGAATTGACATGCAAATAAAGACCCTTTGAATTGAGAGAGAGAGAGAGGATGTGTTGTGGATGTGTGTATTTCAGAATTACAGCTAATTTGAGTGTGTAATAGTGAGAGCCTTGTATCAAAACTCAAATTGTGTGTAATACACTACTTTTTATTTCTTTTAGAAAATGCACTCAAAGATGACAGAGTGTCAAGGGCAACAGCACTGTGCAGGAAGCTGGTGGGGCACTTTTCCCACAGTTGGAAGAAGAAAGCAGCCCTGACGGAGGCACAGAGAGAGCTCAAACTCCCTGAGCACAACCTCATAACGGAGTGCCCAACAAGATGGGGTTCTAAAGAAATGATGATTGCCAGAGTGCTTGAACAGGCCAAAGCCATTTCTCAGGTATTGTCTGGAGATCGATATGCACGCTCCCTTATCCCAACCTGGCAGGATATTGACGTGTTGGAGTCGATTCACAAGGCACTGCATCCTCTACTGGAGTTTACTGATGCTCTTTCTGGAGAGGAGTATGTAAGCATCTCCTACCTCAAGCCAGTTCTCCACCTTTTTGCCACATCAGTCCTGGCTGAAGATGCTGAGGACACTGACCTGACTAAATCAATAAAAACCAAAGTCCTAGCATACCTCAATAACAAATATGGAGACCCAAACATCCAGGAGCTTTTGGATGTTGCCTGTTTCCTGGACCCTAGGTTCAAAATACAGTACATCAGTACAGACAACATCCCTGCTATCAAGACTCGTCTGAAGACAGAGATAGTAGACTTGGCACAACGTACATATCATTGGGTAAATAATTATGTATTTCACAAAAACAAAAATTTTCTGTAAAATCTAACTGGAAAACTAATGGCTGTTGTTTTCATCTAATAGGAGAAGAGGTCTCGTACTGAAACTGTTCAGATGCCTCAAAGTGCACAGTCCTTGGGGGAAAAGACGAAGAGGTCTCTTGGCAGTTTTTTCAAGACCAGTTCAGCCTCTCCTTCTTTGCCTGTAAATCTTGAAGATGTCGCAGAGGCAGAGATAAACAATTACCTGATGACTCCTACCATTGATGGAGAAGATGATCCATTGGCTTGGTGGAGGGTGCACAAGATCAGCTACCCACAGTTGTGCACCATGGCACGCAAGTATCTTTGTGTACCTGCTACAAGCGCTCCCTCAGAGCGTCTTTTTAGCACAGGAGGGAATATTGTGACTTGCACTCGCTCAGCCTTGAAGCCAGAAAAAGTCAATATTCTGGTTTTCTTAGCAAAAAACCTGTGAGCCACTGAGAACAGAACTGTTGGATAAGTATGGCTGGCAGTGCCATACTCGTAGTGAACTTTAGTCTGTGTGGTGTGTTATTGTTGTGTACTTGAGATAAGTGAGGCTCATCTATTTTATATTATAATATTCAAATCGTTTATAAAAAATAGTTTGTCTAAATTAAAAGTGCATTTCTCATTTTTTATTTATAACTTTATTTACTTTGATTTTACAAAATATTTTCAAAGCAAATTCCTTGTTTCAGTTGTGTGAAATGTTACTGACTTGGGAGCAGTAAGATACATACAATTTAAAATTATTTTTTTCTTAAGACTGTACCTTTTGCACACAGTGTTTACAAAGTTCATGCCTTTGTTTAAATTATTTAAATGCACAGTGGCAAAGCCACAGATGTTTCTGTAATGAGCAGTTCAATAAAAATGTCATTTATTTCAAGTCATACATGTTTGAATTTAATTCTAACAAATAGACCCAGCCTATGGGAAAGAACATTTCACACTAAATGTATATACTATTGTGTTGGTCATATTTAAATCATTCATTATGTTTTGTAGGGGAAAAAGGATAAATAAATTAAATCGCATATTAAATCGCAATCGCAATATTGGGGGCAAAAAATCGCAATTAGATTATTTTCCAAAATCGTTCAGCCTTACAGACCACCATAGTCCCTGTTCCCAAGAACACCAAGGTAACCCTTCTAAATGACTATTGCCCCCAAGCACTCACATATATAGCCATGAAATGCTTTGAAAGGCTGGTCATGGCTCACATCAACTCCATCATCCCAGACACCCTAGACCCACTCCAATTCTTATACCACCCCAAAAGATCCACAGATGATCCCAATCTCTATTTCCCACCTGGACAAGAGGAACACCTATGTGAGAATGCTGTTCATTGACTACAGCTTCAAGACCATACTGCCATCGAAGCTCATCACTAAGCTAAGGTCCCTGGGACTGAACACCTCCCTCTGAAACTAGATCCTGGACTTCCTTACGGGCCAACCCCAGGTGGTGAGGGTAGGCAACACATCCGCCACGCTGACTCTCAACATGGGGGCCCTTCAGGGACGCGTGCTTAGTCCCCTCCTGTACTCCCTGTTCACCCACAACTCCAATTAAGTTTGCAGACGACAACGGTGGTAGGCCTGATCACCGACGACAAGACAGCCTAGGGGGAGGAGGTCAGAGACCTGGCAGTGGGGTGCCAGGACAACAACCACTCCCTCAATGTCAGTAAAACAAAAGGAGCTGATCGTGGACTACAGGAAAAGGAGAGCCGAGCACACCCCCAATTCACATCAACGGGGCTGTAGTGGAGCGGGTCGAGAGCTTCTAGTTCCACCTGTCCATATCACTAAGGGTTTATCATGGTCCAAACACACCAACAGTCGTGAAGAGGGCACGACAACGCCTCTTCCCCTCAGGTGGCTGAGAAGATTTGGCATAGGCCCTCAGATCCTCAAAATGTTCTAAAGCTTCATAATCGAGCACATCTTGACTGGCTGCATCACCGCTTGGTATGGCACTGCTTGGCATCCGACTGCAAGGCGCTACAGAAGGTAGCGCGTACGGCCGACTACATCACTGGGGCCGAGCTCCATGCTTTCCAGGTCCTCTATACCAGGCGGTGTCAGAGGAAGGCCCAAAACATTGTCAAAGCATCCAGACTCCCAAGCCACAGACTGTTCTCTCTGCTACCGCACGGCAAGCAGTACCAATGCACCAAGTCTGGAACAAACAGGACCCTGAACAGCTTCTGACACCAAGCCATGAGACTTCTAAACAAGATTGCCAAATAGCTAATCAAATGGCTACCCGGACTACCTGCATTGACCTGTTTTTGCACTAACTCTCTTGTTCTGACTACGCACACACACTGGAATCTACCCACACACTCACACAAACTGATGCCACACACACGCTGCAGCTACTGTCTATTATCAATCCTGTTGCCTAGTCACTTCACCCCTACCTTCAGTACCTTTCAAAACTTTTACCACACCTACTTATTCAAGGGTTTTTCTTTATTTTTACTATTTTCTACATTGTAGAATGATAGTGAAGACATCAAAACTATGAAATGACACATATGGAATCATGTAGTAACGAAAGAAAAGTGTTAAAACAAATCAAAATATATTTTAGATATTTTAGATACTTCAAATAGCCACCCTTTAGTTTTGATGACAGCTTTGCACACTTGGCATTCTCTCAACCAGCTTCACGAGGTAGTCACCTGGAATGCATTTCAATTAACAGGTGTGCCTTCTTAATGCGTTTGTGTGACGAGTACTGAGGATACGAAGAGGTAGGACGAAGATGCAGGTCTCAACAATGTAAAGGTTTACTTAACACTGAGCAAGAGCACGTACACGACATGACACTAACAATCACACAAAACACAACACTGAACAGTCCAGGGCTATATAGTTGTGGTAATGAGATGATGAGGTGCAGGTGCGCTGGAGGTGATTAGGATGCGTTGGGTCGGGGGACGGCATCCGCCAGAGGACCAGGAACCACCGGCCTGAGGAGAGACACATGAAAAGTGGGTGAGACACGGTAGTGAGGGGGAAGGAGCAGCCGGAGAGGAAGGTTTTTTGTGGACAGCCAGATACGATCACCAGGCTGGAATAAGTGGGCCTCACTGCGGTGGCAGTCGGCTTGGTCCTTCTGCCGACGAATGGCCCTCTGGCCCTGCGGAACCACTCGTAGACAGCGGGTGCGTCGGTCTGGCTGGGTGTCCAAGGGGCCGGCTGGTACCCCAGGATGCACTGGAAGGGAGTGAGCCGCGTGGATGAGTGAACAAGGGAGTTCTGGGCATATTCTGCCCAGGGAAGAAACCTCGCCCACTCACCCTGCCGGTCCTGACAGTGGCGACGAAGAAACCTCCCCAGCTCCTGGTTCATGAGTTCCACCTGCCCATTTGACTGAGGCCTATAGCCGGAAGTGAGGCTGGCCGTGGCCCCGATCTTCTCCAGAAAAGCCTTCCACACTCGGGAGGTGAATTGGGGGCCACGTTCCTAGACGATTTCCTCCGGAAGTCCATAATGCATGAAGACCTGTTGGAACAGGACCTCAGCGACCTGGAGAGCAGAAGGAAGACCAGTTAGTGGCAAAAAACAGCATGATTTGGCTGACAAAGTCTATGGACAGGTGTGACCAAGGTCGCTGAGGCACTGGGAGATGAACTAGTTTGCCTGCCAGGGCGTTCCGAGGTGTTTTCGTTTGGGCACATACGGAACAGGAGTTGATATAGCGGGAAACATCAGTAGCCAAGGTGGGACCCTGGTGGGTACATACACGTGCCCCGGAGGGGCGTTGACAGGCGCTGGGTCCGCCTGAGCCACCAGGCAGATCTCTTCGTCCACATCCCAAAGAGAAACGAAGAGGTGCCACGAAGAGAAACAGAGGCAAGATAGGACCCCCCAGATCCTCCCTTTCTCAGGTATGGTGCATCCTGGAGAGTGCGTTGGCTTTCACATTCTGGGATCCTGGGCAGTAGGACAGAATAAACCTAAAGCGAGTAAGAAATTTGGCCCACCTGGCTTGACGAGAGTTCATCCGTTTCACTGCCAGTATGTGCTCCAAATTCCGGTGGACAGTGAGACTCCGGAATGGACTGCGCCCTCCACCCAGTGTCTCCATTCCTCCAGAGCGAGGACCACCGCCAACAGCTCCCCGTCTCCAACTCCATAGTTCCTCTCACTGGCGTAAGCTTTTTCCAGAAAAAGGCACAGGTATACATTTTCTCTGGCTTACCTTACCGCTGGGAGAGGACCCCACCCACGCCCTCCTCCAGGATGAAAGGACGAGCTGGATCTGGGTGTTTTAGGAGGGGCGCTGTGGTGAACCTCTCCTTCAGCCTCTTGAAGGCAGCATCAGCCTCAGGGTTCCAGGCCAGCTTCTGAGGCCCACCCTTAAGGAGAGAGGTGAGCGGTGTGGCTATGGAGCTGAAGGACCTGATGAAACGCCGGTAGAAATTTGCGAAGGCCAGGAAGCTCTGTAGGCCCTTGATGGTGGTGGGGACCTGCCATGACCTGACGGCGTCCGTCTTCGCTCTTTCCATGAACACCCCCTGAGGACTGATCCTGTATCCCAGGAAGGAGATGGCATGTTGGTGGAATTTCGCATTTCTCCCCCTTCACCAACAGGCTGTGTTCCCGGAGGTGGAGTAGGATCGCTCGGACGTCCCTGACTTGCTCCTCGAACGTAGCCGAGCAGATCAAGATATCGTCGATGTACACCAACACCTGTCTACTCAGCATGTCTCGGAACACGTCATTGACTAAGGACTGGAACACGGAAGGTGCGTTGTCGAGGCCGTAGGGCATGACACAGTATTCATAGTGGCCTGAGGTAGTGCTGAATGCAGTCTTCCACATTTCTCCTTCCCGGATTCGGATCAGGTTGTAGGCACTCCTCAGGTCCAACTTGGTAAAGTACCGGGCCCCTCACAGCTGCTCGATGGCCGATGGAACCAGAGGGAGGGGGTACCGGTACTTGGTGGTGACTGCGTTCAGCCCCCGTTAGTCAATGCACGGCCACGAAGAAGAAGCTGGCGGAGGCACGAGAGGTAGAGCGTCTGATGAACCCATGTTTCAGGGTCTCCGCCACATACTTCTCCATGGCCTCAATCTCCGCTATGGAAAGGGAGTAAATGCGACTCTTCGGGGGGTGTTGTCCCTCCAGCAGGTCAATGGCGCAGTCCCAGGGCCTGTGAGGAGCGAGACACTTAGCCTTGGAGAAGACATCGGAGAGATCTGCGTAATCACGTGGAATTTGTTGGGCTGGAGGGCGGACTCCGGACTCTCCACTGACATGGAACAACAAACCACTGGCAGGCAGGTCCTCCGGCATGAGGGGGAGCAGGCTGTGATCCTCTTGGTGATCCAGGGCAATCCCAAGACGATCCGGTGAAGGGGTGACGTGACGATGTGGAAGGACAGCCCCTCGTGGTGGTCTATCATTGCCCGTGGAAAGCGAAGAGAAAGAAGAACCAATTAAAAACAATGGTTTGGTGACAGGTGATGACGGAACACTCACAGAGCGGCGACGGGAGTCATACTGCCTAGATAGGGAGCCGCCAGGAGATCTGGGGTCCGTGGTGGTGTAGGGGGTGCTGCCCACCTCTATGGGTGAGGACTCGGAGGCAGGGCGACTTCCATAGCTCAGATGGGGTGAGCGTCGAGGCTCCGGGTGGAGTTGGGAACGCGGTCGGTCTCTCAACATGTCGTCAAGACAAATGGACATGGCGATGAGGGTATCAAGGTCCAGCTCGTCGTCCCGACATGCAAGTTCCGTCGTGATGTCCTCCCGTGAGCCTCTCATGAAGGTCGTGTGCAGAGCACGCTTATTCCAGCCGGAAGACGCCCCCACCGTGCGAAAGCTCAGGGCGTACTCGAACACGGCCTCCTCTCCCTGTTGTCCCCGGAGGAGATGCTCACCCTCCATGGGATGATCGAACACCGCCCTGAACCGATCGAGGAAGGTGGAGTAGGGAAGCGCCACGGCCTCACCTCCTTCCCAGACTGCCGTGGCCCAATCCAGCGCACTTCCCTTCAGTAGCGAAATCACCAGCGCTATCCTGGCTTGGTCCGATGGAGATGTCCCCCCGCTGACGCGCCAGATACAGTGAAACCTGTAGCAGGAAGCCTCTACATTTCGTTGTTTCCCGTCATAGCGCTCCGGCAGGGCGAGGGGTTCCTCAGACATTGGTGATAGCACGGGAGGAGTTGGACAAGGTGCACTCCCCGCTCCCTGAGGTGGAACCGGCGCGATGGTCAATTTATGCAGCGTTTGGAGCACTTCCTGCATGGAGGCGTTCAGCTGGGCAATCTGCTGCTGGTGCTGGTCGAGGACCTGGGAAACTCCAGGAGGATTACCTGCTGCATCCATCTTCATGAGGTGTGTGAATCTGTGACGAGTACTGAGGAAACGAAGAGGTAGGACGCAGACGCAGGAATCAACAATGTAAAGGTTTACTTAACACTGAGCAAGAGCACAACAAAGAGCGTGTATACAACATGACACTAACAATCACACACAACACTGACCAGTCCAGGGCTATATAGGGGTGGTGATGAGATGAGGTGCAGGTGCGCTGGAGGTGATTAGGGTGCGTTGGGTTTCCATTCCGGTGTTGCCGAAGTGGTGCGCTCAGACCAGTGGCACAGTAGACCGGCGAATCAGAGCCCCGGAGGGGAGAAACGGGAGGAGACGTGACAGTTTGAGCCAATCAGTTGTGTAGTGACAAGGTAGGGGTGGTATACAGAAGATGGCCCTATTTGGTAAAAGACCAAGTCCATATTATGGCAAGAACAGCTCAAATATGCAAAGAGAAACGACAGTCCATCATTACTTTAAGACATGAAGGTCAGTCAATACGGAACATTTCAAGAACTGTGCCAGTTTTTGCAGTCGCAAAAACCATCAAATCGCTATGATGAAACTGGCTCTCATGAGGACCGCCACAGGAATGGAAGACCCAGAGCACAGCACTTACACAAATTACTGATGATTGGCTGAGAGAAATTGATGATACAAAGATTGTGGGGGCTGTTTTGTTAGACTTCAGTGCGGCTTTTGACATTGTCGACAATAGTCTGCTGCTGGAAAAACGTACGTGTTATGGCTTTACACCCCCTGTTATAATGTGGATAAAGAGTTACTTGTCTAACAGAACACAGAGGGTGTTCTTTAATGGAAGCCTCTCAAACTTAATCCAGGTACTTACTTTTTCCCCATCTTTACTAACGACATGCCACTGGCTTTGTGTAAAGCCAGTGTGTCTATGTATGCGGATGACTCAACACTATACACGTCAGCTGCTACAGCAACTGAAATAACTGCAACACTTAATAAAGAGTTGCAGTTAGTTTCAGAATGGGTGGCAAGGAATAAGTTAGTCCTAAATATTTCCAAAACTAAAAGCATTGTATTTGGGACAAATCATTCACTAAACCCTAAACCTGAACTACATCTCGTGATGAATAAAGTGGAAATTAAGCATGTTGAGGTGACTAAACTTCTTGGGAATAACCCTGGATTGTAAACTGTCATGGTCAAAGCATATTGATACAACAGTAGCTAAAATGGGGAGAAGTATGTCCATAATTAAGCGCTGCTCTGCCTTCTTAACAACATTATCAATAAGGCAGGTCCTACAGGCGCTAGTTTTGTCACACCTGGACTACTGTTCAGTAGTGTGGTCAGGTGCCACAAGGAGGGACTTGGGGAAAATGACAGTTGGCTCAGAACAGGGCAGCACGGCTGGCCCTTAAAAGTACACGGAGAGCAAACATTAATGACATGCATGTTAGTCTCTCCTAGCTTAGAGTGGAAGAGAGATTGACTTCATCACTGCTTGTTTGTTTTTTTAAGAGGTGTAGACAAGCTGAAGGTACCAAGCTGTCTGTTTGGAACGCTGGCACACAGCTCGGACACCCATGCATATCCCACGAGACATGCCACCAGAAGTCTCTTCACAGTCCCCAAGTCCAGAACAGACTACGGGAAACGCACAGTACTACATAGAGCCATGACTACATGGAACTCTATTCCACATCATGTAACTCAGTCAAGCAGTAGAATAGGATTTAAAAAAACATTAAAACTACACTTTATGGAACAGCGCGGACTGTGGACACACACACGGCACACACATAGCATTCGCAAACACATGCTAACACACACACTCTACACACATTTTAATATTGTTATTTTGCTGTATTGTTGATTTTGTACTGTAAATATGTTATGGTAGAGTAGTGTGTAATAAGGTGTTGTGTTATGTATTGTTTTATTGTATGTAAATTGTGGTTGGACCCCAGGAAGAGTAGCTGCTGCCTTGGCAGCTGCTAATTCAAGTCACAGACATATCTCAACATCAACTGTTCAGAGGAGACTGTGTGAATCAGGCCTTCATGGTTGAATTGCTGCAAAGAAACCACTACTAAAGGACACAAATAAGAAGAAGAGACTTGCTTGGGCAAAGAAACACGAGCAATGGACATTAGACCAGTGGAAATTTGTCCTTTGGTCTGGAGTCCAAATTGGGAGATTTTTGGTTCCAACCGCCGTGTCTTGTGAGACGCGGTGTGGGTGAACGGATGATCTCCGCATGTGTATTTCCCACCGTAAAGCATGGAGGTGGTGTTATGGTGCTTTGCTGGTGACACAGTCTGTGATTTCTTTCAAATTCAAGGCACACTTAACCAGCATGGCTACCACAGCATTCTGCAGTGATACGCCATCCCATCTGGTTTGGGCTTAGAGGGACTATCATTTGTTTTTGAACAGGACAATGACCCAACACACCTACAGGCTGTGTAAGGGCTATTTGACCAAGAAGGAGAGATGGAATGCTGCATCAGATGCCCTGGCCTCCACAATCCCCCGACCTCAACCAAATTGAGATGATTTGGGATGAGTCGGACGGCAGAGTGAAGAAAAAGCAGCCAACAAGTGCTCAGCATATGTGGGAACTCCTTCAAGACTGTTGGAAAAGCATTACAGGTGAAGCTGGTTGAGAGAATGCCAAGAGTGTGCAAAGCTGTCATCAAGGCAAAGGGTGGATATTTGAAGAATGTCAAATATATTTTGATTTGTTTAACACTTTTTTGGTTACTACATGATTCCATGTGTTATTTCATAGTTTTGATGTCTCCACTATTATTCTACAATGTAGAAAATAGTAAAAATAAAGAAAAACCCTTGAATGAGTAGGTGTTCTAAAACTTTTGACCGGTAATCGACTCGGTACTGGTACTCCCTGTATATAGCCATGTTATTTTCTACTCCCTATATATAGCCATCTTATTTTTACTCTTCTTTTGTTATTCACAGCGTATTTATTCCTTGTGTCACGTTATTTGTTTTACTCTGCATTTTTGGAAAAGGACCCGTAAGTACGCATTTCACTGTTGGTCTACACCGGTTGTTTACGAAGCATGTGACAAATACAATTTTAAGAGAACTAATATGGCTGTTTTGAAGCATTTAAAGTACTGTGACATACTAAATCCTATCCTATGATGGGGTATTTGTATTTATTAGGGATCCCCATTAGCTATTGCCAAGGCAGAAGCTACTCTTCCTGGGGTGCAAACACATTAAGGCACTTACATTAGATATATAAAACAAAATATAAAAGTCTAACAGGCATGCTACGGTGGACGCATACTATTGCAGAGCCTGAGACACTCACATTAATTTAAATTAAACCTGGGCATACGCCGTACGGCTCCATGAGAGAATCTCGCAGTTCCACATTTCAAGAATTTGACCCACGGCTTCTGCTCAAGAACACTTGATAAAGTCACTCTCTGCTTACACCAGCAAAAGTTACGTGTCCAGTGTAGCAGCTAGAAACCTGCAGTTTCCACTACATCCCGGTAAATCTCCCCTGTAAAAGAGCTTGAACAATGACTTTCTCTTTCAGTGTTTTACCAGACTCAGCCTGCATTCGTGCGGCCTTGGCTTTGGCCAGCTCCAAGGCAGTGATCCAACGCTGCCTCTCCACCTCACAGCTGGCCTTCAGATGGTACGTCTGCGCCCCGCCATTGGAGATGACAAAGTTGCAAGCGTCGTCCACAGTGATGGTTGCCGTGGCCAGGTTGATAGTGCCTCGACAAGTGTGCCCCATCTCCGCCTGGGTCCTGGCAAGCATGAAAACAAGGCATCTTTCAAAATGTCCTGAAATCTCCAAAATTACAAGCTATTTACATTTTAGTCATTTAGCAGACACTCTTATCCAGAGTGACTTACAGGAGCAATTAGGGTTAAGTGCCTTGCTCAAGGGCACAGACAGATTTTTCACCTAGTCGGCTCGAGGATTAGAACCAGCGACCTTTCGGTTACTGGCACTATGCTCTTAACCACTAAGCTACCTGCCGCCCTATGTATATAATCTACATGTGTGCATTTGGTACCAATACATTACTGAGCTTTGATTTTACTCAATATGACATTGATTTATGGTTGAATCTATAGACTGGTTTGCAATTAGCTCTTGAAAATCCAAGGGGCACCAGGTAGGGGGCTTACTGCCAGCCCCCATTTTACATTTACATTTTAGTCATTTAGCAGACGCTCTTATCCAGAGCGACTTACAGTTAGTGAGTGCATCCATTTTCATCCATTTTGGGTTCTCAGTTGAAGGTATCGACCACAGCTGGCTCCATGTTAACTAAAATCCCGACTCTCTGTTTTAATGTTTAGAAACGTTAAACTTCAAGTTTTTGGCAATGAGTCAGAGTCAAATGAACTTGTGGACACCATTTTATGTCTCTGTCCAGTATGAAGGAAGTTAGCTTTGCGAGCCAATGCTAACTTGTGTTAGCTCAATGACTTGTAGTCTATGGGTTGCATGCTTTGGAACATAAAACTTTAATACCAGCGAGAAATAATAATTCAAAATATACTTACTTGTACACAGTTTAGCAACGTTGCACACGGCCGTAATACATCCTCCGGCCGAGGTCGGACACATCCTCTCACCTTGCGCTCGCATTTCCATTGGACCATACCATTCCATTCAACATTTCCGGTCTGAAACAGGTGTTACTCAAAACACAGCCGGGTGCAACTTTGCTAAACAGCATACAGTAAGTGTATCTTTTGTAGTCTAATTTTTTTTCTAATTCATTTGAAAGTTCCAAATGTTTCTAAAACTGTATTTGAGTGCAAAGTGTATTTGCATTTACACAGAGCATTTGGGCAGCTTCAGGGCATTTCCCTCACCAGGCTAAAGGGGACATCCAATTGCTCAATGTAATGCAATGGAATTGGAGTCATGAATAAGTGCTAGTTTGCAATGAAGAGCTGTGAGAGAGCAATTATTTTACTAACAACCACTGGTAGGCTGGTACTAAAAACTGTTAGGCTAGAATAATTTATGCCATAGTAATTACAAAAGCCACTACACTTACTGCATCATCAATATTGTCGCGATCCTCGCTATATGAGCCACGTTACAATTCCCACCAAGTGGGTTAACCCTATTTGCGCGACGTGTAGGGTGTTTGCTTTTCACGCCAGAGACCCGGGTACACTTCCCTGCCCCGTCGTTCGCTACATTGGTGTCAGAAGTGGGACGGCGGCTGTGAGGCCATCAGAAAGCACAGCCCAGATGCATGAGGGGGCTGAGTGCCTTGCCGTTCGGAGGGGGAAGTGTAGCGATCCTCGCTATATGAGCCACGTTGCAATTCCCACCAAGTGGGTTCACCCTATTGGCGTGATGGGTAGGGTGTTTGCCTTTCACGCCCGACACCAGGGTTCGCTTCCCTTCCCTACAATATCACGAGTCTCAAGGAGATAAAATACTGCATAATAATATCCAATCTTACCTGTAGTAGGAAAGCAAGCCATTGCTCAGGACAAACCACCGTCGCTGGTATCCTTTAATGTAATTTGTCCATTTGAACACCCAGCCTTTGTAAGTGTCTCCAGCAGGGGTTGGAGGGGGGGTCTTGGGCTCTGACATTACAGCCCCTAAAATTAAGATTCAGATGGGGGCCTAATGTGAATGACATATGGGAAAGTAAAGACAATAATGAATATGTATTCATATTAAGCCATCTTGCTAGCTAGCTAAGAATCATATCAGATGGGACTGATTTATTATACTGTGTACTGATTTAATGTCAATGATCGCAGTAACGTTAACGTTACAGTTTCACGGTGCTGACTTAGTTCTACCTAGCCAAAGGGCAAGGGTCAGTGTTACATCACAAAAGCAGTTCAAAAATGTGCTAACAAGCAAACGTTAGTAGCAACTGTAGATTAAAAGCACACCAAACCTCCCATTTACAACATAGTAATGTAGCTAGGGTCAAGTCAATTTGTATCGCGTTACACCGCATTTCCTGTAAATCATACCAAAAAGGTTTCCTTCTGTGGTGGAGAACATTGATGTAGGCAGCTAACGTCTCTACCTAGCTACAGTAGCTAGATAGCAAACGAAAGCAGTAACGTTAGCTAGCTAAATCCCACTATGACTGATACTGTAAGACAAGGGATTGAATCAGTAACGTTAGGTAACTTTCTAGTTAGCTAATACCAAACAGAAACTGTGCTAAAAAAGTAAAGGGGAGTGGAGGCTATGTCGTCCGGGTTGACCAGATAGCTAGCTAACGTTCACACACCTAACGTTAGCTAGCTGGCTAATTCATCGACAATGTACAGCTAGTTATATAGCTAGCTACATTAGATATATTTTGATTTTATTTCAAGCATTTAGTCTCTGAAGAAGGTTATTGTAGCTAGCTATGTTTCCGTACCTAACTGACAAATTACTAACCCTGTCATGCTAGCGAGTGAGTGGCTAATGTACTAGCTAGCACATTTGTTTACCTTGACGTGTCCGTAATGTGAGATCAGGCAACCAGACACCCGGTGAAGTCACTAACTTTGACAACAGCTAGGTAACAAGCTAAGTACATCTACGCTGTGGTGGACACATTGGAAATGCAGCCAATGATCTCTAGCTAACATTAGACACAAATCATGTCACTGAAAATACTAGCTACTAATAGGCTAAATAGTGCTTGCGTGACAAACGACATTATGCCATAAAGCTAATGTTAGCTCGTTCGCCGAGACCCTAACAACTGGACGCAGTGTTGCCAACTCCCCAGTAAGGAAAGTAGCTATTGGCTGTCCTAAAAGTCGCTAAATGACGTCATCACATAATTTGCATAATTTACAATGTGCATGTTATTGACTGTAGGAGAGAGGAATAACATAGTGGGAGAGACAAAACGTGAGTAAAAAACATCCTAAATATGTTTAGAACTACAAATGAACTTTCTTCTGTCGATTCTTGTTTTTTTTTATGTCACAATTCCAACCCTCCTCATTTATCCGGGCTTGGGACCAGCGAAAGTGACCCAAAAGAGACACTCTGGCGGAGTTACTTATTTTTTTAGTTTATATTTTTTGTTTTTTTGTTTCGTCTTCTTAAGTTTGGTTTGGTTTTTAACCTTATGGTCCACTTAGGAGCCTACAAGAAGTCACAGTAAAACATGAAATGTTTTAACCACAACATTAATTAACAATTTTGCAGCTGATGTGCCAAAAAGCTGCAAAACATTATCAGGCAGCTGGTGCTCATAGCAAGCCTCACTCAGTCCATATCGAATGTACAGGATGGAGTTAAGAGTCTGCAAGGACATCCGATTTCTAAATTTGCTTTTTACCACACTCATCTGGCTGAATACTCTCTCGACATCAGCATTCGAGTGTGGCAAGGACAACACAGACACAGCAGCCATGGCAAATTCTTGAAATGGGTTGATATCCCTGAACTTCCAAATCTCACTCCAGAAGCCCAGTGTGTTTTTTGTCTCATTCCATTTACTAAGATGGATGGCACGCCATTGCTGGACAATCTTGTCTATCTCTGCAGGGGAGTAGCCAAGGAGCTTGGCTATTTTTTTCTATTTCTCCAGGGCTCTTATTGTGCTTATTGTGTTCCTCCCACTGGTCCAAAATGCGTGAAACCGCAGGTTCAATGGAGAGCCAACGTGTGGCACACACCTTGGTTATCTGTAAAGGTTTCCCCCCACAGTTGATGGTCTCAAATATGGCCTTGTAGGCCTCCCTGCACTTTGGAGACACTGAAAACCAGTTATAAGTCTCTTGTACCAAGTACTCCACACTACGGGGGATGGTGTCATTGGAAGCATGACTTACAGAAAGCTGCAGAGAGTGACACACACAGCGAATAAGAACCAGATCTTTGAGACCATACTCCTCCTTCAGCACTTTATGGACCCCATTGTTAATCCCCGTCATAACAGAGGCATTGTCAGTCCATATCCCCAAGAGTTTCTCTTTTTTAAGACAACACTTCTCGAGGAAAGCCACAACAGCACAGGCTATAGATTTGGCATCTCCTCCCTCTAACTCAACAAGCCCCAGAAATGTTGATACAATTGCCTGCTTGGTGTCACTACAGTACCTTTTCACAACCCCCAGGTACTCAGAAACACTTACATCCGTGGACTCATCGAGGAGGAGGCTGAAACGCTGGTCACCCACATCTGCGACCAACTTTTTCAGAAAGTATGGTGCTAGAACAACATTAATAATTTCTGTGCACTTTGTCCTGTGCATTTTGAAGTGGGTAGCAGCAGTGGAGTCTGAGAAAGCAGCTCTACATGCTTCTCCAATGTGATCACATGCCAGCATGGAACAGTGTTCAGCGATAGCTAATGCCATGGTGGCCTCAGCCTTTTTTGCAGAGTCAATATTGTAACCATAAATGGCAGCTTGTTTTGGGTGGAACTGTTATAAGGCTTTGCCTTTTGAGTATGTTTTGGAGTTGTCATGTGTTTTATTACATCACTAAGTTTGGCGTAGAAATCAGCCTTACAATACAGGCAGTATGCCCGTGTATCATCTACAATAAACGGCTTCAACCAGCCTTTGAATTCAGGGTTTGATTCCCACTCCTTTCTGTATTTTTCAGTGTACAGTTTAGACTAAGACATGATGAGCTAGCCAGCTAGATGTTTAGCTTATGTCACAGAGAGGCACACACACAGTGGACGAGGTGAGTAAGTGACTGAGGCTGTGTGAGTCAAATACAGTGATTTATTTTTGTGCAGTGATTTATTTTACATTTACATCCCGCCCTGAATG